AGTGCAGTCAATCTCATTACAGAAGTCTCCTTTTTAACAAATAATTATTCCTTTTAAAGCACTGTCAATGACATCTGAATTTGCTATTTTTTTCACACAATATATTTTACCATTATGACAATATATCTATAAATAACGAAAATCATTTTATATAATAATTACTTTATAGTGTATTTTCATTTCAAAAATAACAGTGTACACATACATCATTACTCATTCTTTATATGCATACGGCAAAGAAGTTTCAAGGTCAGCTAATTAAACTAATACTCTATTCAAATATCATAATGATAGTTGGTTGGTATAAAACTAATTTCAAACCAATAACAAATTCGAACAAATGGTAGTACCCACACCAAAAGCCGCGACTTATCGAATAATTTCCTATTAAAAGCATACTCTAAGCCGCCTTTCCAATTTTCTAAAATAAACATGCAGTTGGTCGAGCTTTCGTTTTTGAAGCCAAGATGGTTGTCAAGTCAGAGCGCTGTCATGTTGTAATTTATCCTATAAAGTAACACAGACAACACAGTACAATCAAACATGATTAGCGAAACGGATTTTTGAATTATCTACTTATTAATTCTTAATTGATGTTACAACTTTATCGACAGTAATCTTTATTGAGGTTCAAACTTATTTCTAATTTAGAATAGACTTAATTGATATTTTTATTGGTTAAGAAAAAAAACAGAAAAAATGATGCCTGATTACGAGCGCTAGAAATCGTCGTACCTATCATCGTAGTTGAATCGGATTTTAATTTATTGTTTTAATTTCTCTTTAGTTTGAGTACCTTACACTAGAGTATAACTATAATGCTATTCTACCCTTCAGTATTTGTGTCAATAATTTAGGATCAATATTTAAACTTAGTGTAGGATGCCCACAGGCTAGGTGAAGTGACTAGGCTTTTGGCAGGAGTTGTGGACTGCGATAGGCTGAAGATGATGATTTAAGGTTACTGAGGTACCTATATTTTCAAATTATACCACCACAATTATACAGAAAACCGGCGTTGAGCAATGCTTTCATTGGTTTTAACAGAGTAACTAGTTACCAAAGGCTGATCATTCTGCTCGTTTGATCTTCATACCATAAAATGTTGTCATTTTCATACATTTAATAATAAGACAGTACAGTGTAATTACCATAGCATAACAAAGTTTGCTATTACAGTGCTATAATGTTGTGTGTAAGTAGTAGTTGTTGTACGTAGCAATATTTAGCGTGTCAAACTCCTCAAATAAGATTGTCTCATCTCATTTTCTTATATCCAACACAATGTACATAGAAACTAATAGTTATAATAATAGATCAACTTGAGAGAAATGATATAATGCAGGAAACGGCTGACGGAATATCTAAATCAGGAATGCCTTGCAAACTTAATACTAGTGATGGGCCGCTTGATAAGTTGTCTTATCGATTCCATGTTTATGTGCTACAAAGCCTTGTTTAACTGTAAATTTGAGCAACAAGCAAAATTAAAATTACTAGAAATTTCGGTCTGGGAAAATTGAGAAAATGCTACTATTGAAAAATTTTACTTAAGAAATCAGAAAAAAATAAATTTAGCAATATTTGGCTCTTGTAGAAAACGTTATTTTAATATTTCTTTTTATCAACAACCTTTAGTAGTCCAGTACTGAACCTTGACCTCTCCTTAGCAAGAAGGCTTTGGCTTACTATACCATGCTGGCCAGACGGGTGTGTGGTGTGAGGTGTGAGGATTGTTTTAAGTGTTCCTTCTCTTTGCAGTACGTAATTATTCTGCTCCTTTACTCGGCTCTTACGACACCTACGAGTTGAATAGGGTCGGACACTCCGTATTCTTAATCCATCACCACATGGCTAAACTGTTAAAACGGATAAGATTTAAGTTGTTCTAATTTACAGTGTTAATGCAAAGGGAAAAGTTGCTATGTAAAGAAATATTTAATTCAGATTAAGTCAAAACGTACACGAAAAATTTTACTTGCAAAATTTTGTATTTATATCGTCTCTTTTGTGTCTTATTTCAATCTTATATTCATCACAGAAGTTTCTACAACTTCATGTTTTAAATTTTTATCCTAAGTGTTGAGTAAAATTATCTGTTTTGATCATGCCATTTTACTTTCTCAAATTGGTCAGATACCAGGATCAGTATTGCATTGAACCGTTTTCCTTATCATTTTATTTTATTTTTATTTTATTATCATTATTTACATAAATACATTTTATATGCAGTATGTACTTCAGTCCTTTCAATAGCTGAGAAAATGTGTACTTTTTGAACACTTGTTTCTTTTTTAATTTTTATTTAAACAATTTATTTATCGTCACATTTAATTGTTGACTTGCACATCATTAGTACCAATATCGTTTAGTTTAACAAGCGCGTTTACCCCGAATGGACAATTTCCTTACATTTGCCCTTATTTAGCTGTCAGAAGAAGCAATAAATAACGATTTTATTACAGAAACAACATGACAAGGAAAAGCTAGAAACATATCTCTTGCCAAACTTCATTCATCATCCATTCTAACTTAATCGTTTACTACATTGATGGGATCATGAATGGATAGATAATAGTTTTATTTAATGATGTAAAAAAAACAATTACCACTCTGGCACTAAATCTTCGGATGCTTCACAAACCGGTTTTATTCAAAATTGTCTTGGACTTAAAGTCATAACATTGGACTAAACAGCATTCTTCTTTTTCGAATTTACAAATACTGTCAGGTCGTAAATTCTGTCAAAAAATCTTATTGTAATTATATGCTTTTTTATAGTTATTAAAAAAAAAAAATGCCCAATAAAGTCAATTCCAAGGGCGGTCAACTAGTTTTGGGCGCTTTGTAACTTATGTGCGGGTGCAGAGTCTTGTTTGAATATCGAATGCCGTTTTTCAGTATTGTTTTAAAAAGAGGTTCTACTATGTTCGTTAGTACGATATTTTGGTACTAGTGGTTGGTGGAGGTGTCTTTTTACAAAAAAGTCACCACAGTTTAGCCTGAATATGAGACTAAAAGCGAAACTTCTTCACTGCTGTGAAGTACACCTATACATTTTGTTTGTTATAACTTCTTTGATGGTAAAAAAAACATCCGAAAACAAAATTTCACATTATTTCTTTCAAATGTTCACTCGAAAAATGATCGGTATTTTTACGAAAAGCTCGTAGTCCCAGGTCTTCATATAACACTCTTTTAACCGTAGTTATTTTTTTATTTTCGCACGAGATTTGGTTGGATTTGGATTTTGGAGAGGCCTATGTCCAAAAGTGGACTGTTATAGGCTGTTGATGAAAATGATGATGATGACTATATGAATACATCTCTCACCTGCTATTTGCAGACGACATCGTCACCGTGCCAGAGATACTGTAGGACCTACAACAGACGCTGAATAACCATGAACCGTGGTTGAAATGCTCATACGCATCTTTTTATCAAACCTTGGATCATGGAGTTCTATCCTTGTGGTGACGGATTACACGGACTGTCACCACACTTATTTATCTCATGGGTATCGAGGGAGCAGATTAAGCAATACTACTGTAAAGAGAAGGAAAGCTTGTTGCAAACCCTACATACAATAAAAATATTTAAGTAATAAAACTCTATTGATGACCGGACTGCATAGTGGTTTGTATAACGCACTGCTATTCCAAAGGTCGCGGGTTCGATTCCCGCTCAAGTCAAACATTTGTGTGCATAAACATTTAATGTTTGATTTGGTCTGGGTGTTTCTATGTATAATATGTATGTATTTACAAAAAAAAGTATATATGTATTTATAGTTGTCTAGGACCGATAGTACAAGCTCTGCTTAATTTGGGACTAGATGGCGTTGTGTGAATGTAGTAAAATATATGATATTATTATATATATATGTATTCAAACCTTATGAGTGCTGTAAGTATATATGTATATACGTATACCTATATATATTACTGACCACAAAAATGACGTAAGTAAAGAATAAACCACTATTTACGACCGCGTAAATAAAAGTAAATTCAAAACATCAAACATTAATTGCTGTAATTATAAAATGATAGAAAAAACAAGTTTTTTGCGTACTTACAGCAAAACGGACGTGGAAATTTTTAAAAAATGTGTCCATATATGTAATTTCTTTTTATCATATCGAAATGGGACTCGGACCATTTGACGCAGTATTTTTTCTGTTTCTAATAGTGTTTATTCTACTTACGCCATTTTAGCTACTTACAGCAAATACGTTTTCCACCATCGATATTTAAATGCTTGCACTTTATGTTGGGTGGGAGGAGAGTCGTTTTAGTCGGCTACGACCTATCGGTAGGTGAAATAAAATTCTCAAATAACTTCCATAATTTACTTTTATCATTAAAATTGCACATGCACATAATTATTTTACCATTCTTAACATGAATATTTTATATTTAATTAATAATAAAAATATTAAAAGCAAATTGGTTTTAATATTTTTATTTTTATCTTTTAATGTTTAATATCAAAAGATATTATCAAAGACAACAACACAATTTACTTTAAATTACATTAACAAGGTATTACAAGTTTTGTAATGTACACTTAGAGATGTAATATTTTGTAACTATTTTAACTGGAAATACTGGTTCTTTGTGTAATAAGCTGAAACAGCAGTTTTTAAAATTATCGGATCATATCTCTTATATGGCCGTGAGTTTCGTGAAACATACGCAAGAGGCATATCTGAGAAAAAACAATTTGCACAATATTTATTTCAAATATGTACCCATAAAAGTAAGTACTCATAAAATTTTACTTTAAATATCGTTATATAATCTAAAGTATACATGGAAATCCCATAATATTAATGTTTAATGTATAACACAAGTAGGTATACCAAATAGAAAGAACACGAACAAAACAAAATTATTATAATACTTAAATAGTATCAACTTAACCGTGACAACCCTACAAAGTCGCACCTATGCGTACTTATGTCGTTTCTATTCACCTTATGATGATGACCTTGATCCCTAATCACCCCATTTTGCGTTACCATCTTCTTCTTTTGTTTGACTCTCGTGTTTGGCACATGGATCTTTACTATCGCTATTTCCGTTAGCTCCCTCGGCATCTTCGCTATTTTTACCATAGCTATCGTCATCAGAATCTTCATCACTATCTTCATCATCGGTATCGCTGTTATCATCAGATTGATCACTGTCAGTATCTTTGTTCGCTTCCTCGCCATCTTCGCTATTTTTACCATAGCCATCGTCATCAGAATCTTCATCACTATCTTCATCATCGGTATCGCTATCATCTTCAGATTGATTACTGTCACAGTCTTCTTCTTCACTGCCCTCCCCGTTGTAATTTTCACCTTTCTCTTTGCGATCATCATCGTTGTCGTCATCATCAACATCTTTCTTGTCATCGTCAGACTGATCACTGTCAGTATCTTTGTTCCCTTCCTCGCCATCTTCACTATTTTTACCATAGCTATCGTCATCAGAATCTTCATCACTATCTTCATCATCGGAATCGCAGTCATCTTCAGATTGATCACTATCACTGTCATCTTCACTGACCTTCCAGTCGTCACTTTTACTTTTCTTTTTGCCATCAACATCATTATCAACTTCATCATCTTTATTTTTAGCGTTAAGTGACCTCCCATATCCTCCGGCTTCATTACCCTCCCCATATCCACCGCCTACGCTGAAATAACTGTCGCTTTCAATGTCAACTTGGTTAGGATCATCAGGCCTATCGTCATTAATCTTATCATTTTTATTGTCCTTAACTTCGTTGTTTTTAGCATCATTTGACTTATTATTTTTAACGTCACCTGCGCTAACGATATTGTTGTTTGTTTTACTTCTCCCTTTTCTTTCATCATCTGTTTTATCGTCACCTCCGCTATCCCTTTTGCCGACTTTTTCAAATTTTTTTTCGCTTGTATCCTCGTCATGTTCGCCACCAGTAGTATTAATAGCTGTAGCGTCAGCAGCGGCACTAGATGATTTATCACTTATAGTTCTTGAGTTTCCTTCGTCGGCATATGTCACCGCGATAGCACATAATCCGACCTGTAGTAAAAAAAAAAAGCATTGTTAACGATATTCGTCGTCTCTAAAATTTCTCTAAACTGATGAAATCGTTCAACAGATAGGAACCAAGAAGATAAGAATTTGATAAGTGCAATAGAAAATAAAAACAGAAGACTGCAGAAGACAAAACTTCTTCGTGCTAAACCCAGTCCTCGTCTAAGTATAGTATATACTTATAACAATAACTTTACACATTTCTTACACGGTTTTCTGTTCCCAAACTAGGCACAGACTGTGCTATAGTAATCAGACTACTACTAAACATAATTATACATTACATACCTATTATAGATAAATTACATCCAGGTACAGAACAAATAATCGTTCTCACAACACAAATATTTGGCCTGAGTGGGAATCGAACACACGACCTCTAGCTTAGCAGTCAGGGTCACTTAGCACTAGACCAACAGGCCAGTGGAATGTATCTGTTAATATAGCATGCTATGAAATTTTGGTTTTGTCCTTACACTGGCTGACGTCTTATCTGGTAAACGTAATAAAAACTAATAACAAATTTTGGGTACACTGCAATAGTTCAGCATTTAGACATATACTAGACATAAAAAATACTTAATTAACTCATATAAATAACTATAGGACTACTAATTTTGCAATAGATAGCTTCGAAAGCTTTTCCATATTCCGGTACCTTCTTTGACGGTATACAGCCGTTATTGTTGCAAAAATACTCTCAGTAAAAAATACATGAGATGTATATTTTTAGCCGAAACGTGCAACTCGAGCGATTTAACTTACTACAATACCTAACACACAACAACGTTAACTTACACAACAACTCACAAGCTTTCAATTAGGAGGTGAGAGGGGTTCTATTTTTACTTAAACGATCTTTAATCTTAATGACAAACAATTAAAGTCTATTATTAGATCACATTTACCCTCAAGAATTTTATTTAAAAACTAGTTTTTACCTATTTCTCCTTTCATTAGTATCAGAAATTTTGAACACATGCCAACCAAGCATTTAGGTTATAATTGAACAAAACAAAGTGTTCTTCTGTCAAAGGTAAATGACAAAAGGAAAAATAAATAGAAATCGTACAATTTGGTCAATAAAGAGTTATTGACCAAATTGTACGATTTCTATTTCTTGAATGTTTGTAACATTTGGGAAAAAAAAATGTCAAATATTTAAACGAGTACAAGATAAATAATTTGGAAACGGATTTCGTTCCAAATATGTCCATAATATTTTCTCACTCTGAAGTTCGACCATAGTCTCCAAAAGTAATTAATGTATTATTAAGGGGTATACCTTCAAGGATTTTCAAGTTACCATATGTTGATGGTGATGATTATGTCATGAAATAAATAGGAACAATTTTCCATACGTGCAATGAAAAATTCGTTGATTTATAATCTATACTAATATTATAAAGCTGAAGAGTTTGTTTGTTTGTTTGTTTGTTTGAACGCGCTAATCTCAGGAACTACTGGTCCGATTTGAAAAATTCTTTCAGTGTTAGATAGCCCATTTATCGAGGAAGGCTATAGGCTATATATCATCACGCTAAGACCAATAGGAGCTGAGCACAAATGAAGAATGTTTCAAAAACGGAGAAAATTTATTACTATTGAGAGACGCAGACGAAGTTGCGCGGGTCAGCTAGTTCACTTTATAAATATAGTATGTATTGTCAACAAATAATTAATTCACCGACTTCAAAAAAGAAGAGGTTATCAATTCGGATGTTTATATTTTTTTTAAGTATGTTCAGGCATAACTCCGTCATATATAGACGAATTTTCAACATTCTTTTTTTGTTCGAAAGGGGTTTATTCCGGAATTGTCCCATTTAAATTTCATACAGATCAAATGATGACTTTCGGAGACAGACAACGGAACTATTCAAAAAATGACAGCAAATCAACTACAATTGCTGCTAGGTTTTTAGTGCTCCTTGTTAGTATTGTTTGAAGTAGGTTAAACTTTTTTTAATAAAGATTTTCTTGTATGTTGAAAATTCTTAACATTCATATAATACGAGTAAAAGTTACACTTGTAAATATAAACCGAGCAACTTCTATATACTAAACTATAAAGATGAAGAGTTAAATTATAAAGAAAAGAAAAAATATTTCATGAACACATATTATAATCAATTGTTAAGATTCCTAACGTAATTTCATTGGTCTAGAAACATTTAATTTAAAATAAAAACACTTGAAATTATGGAAACTACAGGAATACTAAAAAAACTTTTAAAAAGGTATAAAAAATTGTATTTTTGGGCACTCAATAATAAATAAGATTTCAAGAAATACCAAAATGATTTTTTAAAGAAAAATGCACCTTATTATTACAGGAATATATGAGTACTTACTATTATAAATAACTTTAAATCACCCATTACTGCTGGCTCGCAATCAAACTGAATTTGAAACAGTGAAATGCCACATTACTTTATATACCACACGTAACTACTTACGTGTAACAGATATGATAAAGTGAATTGTTTTATTTGCGGATAATTCAGACAATTATGTTAATTTAAGTATTTATAGTTTGCAGCAGTTTGTTGCCTTTCTAAGTAATTGTAACGATGCTTTCCAAAGACCAAACCACGGCGTCTAATGCAACGACCAGTAGTTGCACCCGGAAGGCGGTACACGCGACCTTATGTTACTGGCGCGGCTAATGTGGTTCTTGGAACGGGGAGAGAGGCCTAACAGCTATAAGAAGGGCGTCGGGATTTCCGTCTTAGTTTTCGCTATGTGCGAAGCGAATGACGGCGGCCAATGTCGAACACCGGCAACGGGACGGTCCAACCCGCATATGCCGTCTTATAGGCCAAGAGTAGAAAACCTCTATAAAAAACTACATGGGCAGTATGACGTAGGCCGCATGTCCAGGAATATCTCTTCAACTTTTCCCTCTGTTACGCAGAAGGCACGTGTGAGGCCTACGTCGGAGGACGACGACTAACAGGGGCGACGGGATCACCGTTCGAAGCTCCGCATGGAAAGCATTTGCTCTACGGAGCACCGATATGGGCCAAGCGCCTATTGGACTCCTCCCGTTGCCGAGCTAAGCTCAATCAACCGTAGCGGGTAGCGGCCATTCGGAGCAAGCTGTCGGAAGTGCTCGTCGCAGAACCAACTCCCATCAAGAATTAGGCCTAGGTACTTCATCTGGGCCTGAACCAGTACGAGGACCGAACCGACCACGATTGAGGCGCCGGGGGGCGGATCACGGCGGGGCCCATGAAACAAGAAGGTGTCCGTCATATCCAGGGCTACCCGTAAGCCCAGCGCCTCAATGCGTCCGACCACCAGAGAGACACCTCTGATGGCCAGGCGCGCGGCCTCTTGAAAGTTCGAAGGGCCCAGTCGTAGCCTATGTTCCACAGGAGTGGTCCGAGAACAGACCCCTGCGGAACACCGCACGACATGGGTCGATGTCTCAAAACACCATTTCAGTAAGTCGAACGACACCGCCAACAGCACGCTGCCACGGCTTACCGCCTCTGACGCGCAACAAAGCACCGACTAACGAACACCCCGCTCGAAATCCGAATTGGACGTCCGACAGATCAGGGCCCACCTCACAGAGGTGCCGGACGATGCTCAAACAATTTACCCGCCTCGTCAAACACCACAAAACAGCACAAAAATATACACCTTCATGGTCGAGAGAATACAAAGCAAATTTACCCAGTATCTTTACAACTGCGCATACGGATACTCGTAATATCTATTTCTGTATTCCTCCTTGTTTCTTAGAATGATTGGTCTGATGAGTTTAGAACTGAGCCGGAACTTCCTACAATTATCTTTTGCTTTAATCAACAAGATAATCAACTCATTTATCAAAGAGTGCATTTATTTCGTCCGGGCGTCAACAGCATCTACTACAGCGACTACTTGGCACTCCAACTGGCCTGAGTTTCACTATATCGAAGGTAGTGAAACTCAACTACATAGTTTACTGCGTACAAAATCCAGATACGAGATATTGTTTGACAGTATGAACCACAAAGATATGAAGACTCTTCCCATAACATTTAAGCGATTTGGTTATATATATTGATTATTAGTAAAATAATATTGCAAAAGACGTAAGAAGGCGGAAATGCTTACCAAAATACTGTTTTAAAAGGAAATCTTTAAAAGGAAGACTTCTTCTCTTTATGTGTTAAAATCAATCTTAAACAATAAACTTTAATAGTGTTTTGCATTCTTGTTAAATAAACAAACAGATCAACTTTATTGTTACTTGTGTGTAAATAACCTCTAATTCTTTTTGGTTTAATTTAATTATACTTTAATCTTTGTTGTTTTCAATATCTAATCAATTTGAGTTTTCGATTTTTACTCACTTGATTAGAATCGTTACATCGGTACGTGTCTATAAATTTCTATAAAATAAGAAACTGACAGACCCATTCACTGACTGAGCGATCATCGCACAGCTGAAATGGCTCTGTCTAGAAGCATGATATTTTGCACAAATATTCCTTTGGTGACGTAGGTTACGTTGGTGATTATTATTCTGGTTGCATTGATGAGAAATGAAAATAATAACTGACGCGGAAAATAGATAACAGCAATCTTCGTAGGGGGTCAAACTGTCGAAATATTTTATCATGTCAAAATTTGAGCTCAATCGGTGAAGAACTATTTGAGTTTTTGAAATGTACGCAAACCAACATTTATATTATAACTAAGAGGATACTTACCGTGCTAAATTATCAAGATTTAGTTTCCAATGTATTCGGTTCTATTGCAATCGCCATGATCCGGGATAAATAAACTCAGTTAAGATTTTTTTTAACTGCTATGTATTTAACCTGTCGCACCGTGATACAAAAGTTTATAAAATGACAGTTAGTCTTATGACTAGACTCCGTCTCCTTCTACGAGCAAGTTATGCTCGCGAAGGAGACGGCGGAGCGGGACCGGGAGAGGTTTAGAACTCTCCCGGCCCGCCAGGCCCGGGAACAGGCCAGGAACCGCAGGCCACTCAGGCGCTGGAGGTCGCAGAACGACCTCCGCCTTTCATAAGCGCAGGCCTGGGGGTGACAGGTGAGGCCATCTGTCACCCTAGCAGAAACAGGCACATTTACTTGAGAATAGAATTTTTAAGAATAGATAATTGACAGTTCACCAAATATCTCGTATTGACCCGTATTTTTACTTACCAAGCATCTTAATATCCCCCAATACTCTTAGGCAAATAAACGTGAAACAATTCAAACCGAGTCCATATTACTACTTTTAAATAATTGCAAGATAAGGTAAGTAAAAACACTATCGTAGTGTTTCTTGTTGTGAATAATTTACCTGTTAATTAAGGCGTGTTTTCACAAAACGTTGTGATGTACAAACACTATATAATATTTAATTTTAAAACTATTTAATTTCAATCCGAAACTACCAAAGTGATATAAATTTGAAAGTCGAATTTGAGCGACTGATAATTCTAGTGTTACCTTATCATCTGCAATCCGGTGAGCCGACTACTCGTATGTTTCTTATATTATTAAGAGCGTCCTCCTTCCTCAAAGGCTGGCAACGTGCTTGCGACTCCTGAGTTGTAGGCGTTCATCGGCGGCGGTAGTCGTTTTAAAAACCGATTCCTCACTACCATCGACGAAGTAAACCTTCGGTTAAACGATCTTCGATTAATTTCTGTTTGGAGAGTTTAAGTAACAGTGAACAAGTCAAGATCAATGGCAGGCATTGGCACATATGGGATAGCCTCGGCTGGAGTGATATCAAACCCTCATAGAAAGCCAGTGTTAGGCAATTCTTACGTTGCTCTTTAAGGAGTGAGTTAGGTTACCGGAGGTCAAACTCTCATTCCCGTGATTCTTGAGATGAGACACAAAAGGCGGTAATGCATTAGTGACTCTTAAACTGCAGGTGTCCATGGGAAACGATAGCCACTTTCAATCAGGTGATCGTTTGCGCCCGTAATGAATGTAGAGCAAAGCCTAAGGCAACTTTAATTTCATTTCACCTTTCATTATTATACATTTTCTTTCTTTAATTGAATATGGTCTTCCCTACCTTTACCTTCTCTTCTCATTAACGACTATTACAGGTCTGCAGCGCCCGTATTCTATAGAAAAACTGACCTTAGGCAGGCCAGTTCGTACCCTCTGCAATCTTTAGTTTCATTATATCATTAATTTATTATAATATATTTACCTATCCAAATTTACAAGTACAGTTCAAAGTATGAGCTAAAAGAGTACACTGTTTTCATGTATCGCTTTGTGAAAACGCTCCTTAATTTAGATAAGTGCTCACCGCTGTCACAAGTTCGTTGACTTTGTGAGGTAAGTAATTGGAAAGATTGTAGAAACAAATTTGTTAACTAAATTTTTTATTATATTAAGAAGTAAGAGTATAAAAAAAACGCTCATTGAATGTGAGGCGCTATTCAAGTATTAAAATTTGTTTTAGATAATTGTGCTGTAAATATAATAGTTTCAGGTAAGTAATATAATTAACTGAACTATTAAAGGCTGTTGATGATGACGGTCCTTACGTAGAACAGTTTTGGGTGCTAACTCGCCAGTTCCCAGACTTTGCAAAGTAATCAACTACTGCAGTGACATAGTAGATATTTATAGCGATAACCTTGGCAAATTTTACAGTGCTATTCAACTTTTAACTTAACTTTTAACTTTGTCAACTTTTATAATAAGACTGGTTAATTTATAAATTGAATGTATTGATGAAATAAATAAAAAATAAATAAATAAATAAAACTAGCAGCCCGCCCCGGCTTCGCACGGGTGTGATTCCATAAGAAGGATTAATTTTTAATTATTTAGAGCTTCTCTGTGAACGACATTTGATGTTATATTATTATGGGGTAATAAAATATATTGTTTTTCGGGAGCTCCAACTCGCGATAAGCCAACATACAGTTCGCCATGAGTAAAACACTCTTTTCGTGAGTTTATGCCTACTAAGTCGAAAGTTTGGCCTTGAGATTTATTAATTGTTAAAGCGAATCATGTTTTCATAGGAAATTGAAGACGTTTGAAGGGTATTGGCAAATCGGTAGGGATCATAGGTATCCGGGGTATGTGCGCTAACTGACCGGCTGCGGGGCCAGTGATTATGGTCGCTACAATGATATTGTCCCTCAATTCCTTTATAAGAAGACGCGTGCCTTTGCACATGCTAGGAGGGCTTAAATTTCGTAATAGCATTATAGGCGTTCCAATTTTTAGCGTTAATTCATATGGTGGAATCCAGATGGGGAAAAGTTGTTATTATTATTTCTTTAATTTAAGATTTATTTCATTTTCAAACTGTAAACCATCATAATATCCTAAGAATGTGGTGTTAACCTTTAATGAATTGTTACACTTATGTTAGTAATAACTTTGGA